TGGCTCCAGTCTTTGGATCCAGGTAACCCTGCTCTATCACTGGGCATAGGCACAACCTGCTCTTAGGGATTCTGGGCTGTGCCTGTTAAGCTCCTAGACAGAGCCATTTAGACACAATCGGGGGCAGCTCTCCAGTGGGTGGGGCTGCAATTTTAGCTCTAGGAGCTTTGGCGACTCTGGAGGCAAGAGCTTAGGTTCTAGAGCTCAATACACTTGGGAGGCCTAGTCGGGTGAATCACCTGAGATCAGGGGTTCGAGACCAGCCTGGCCAACATGATGAAACCCCATCTCTACTAAAAAACACACACACAAAAAATTAGCCAGGCGTGGTGGCGGGCACCTGTAGTCCCATCTACTCAGGAGGCTGAGGTGGAGAATCGCTTGAACCCAGGAGGCAGAGGTTGCAGTGAGCTGAGATTGCACCATTGCACTCCAGCCTGGGTGACAGAATGAGACTCTGTCTTTAAAAAAAAAAAAAAAAAATAGCCGGGTGTGGTGGTGCAAGCTTATAATCCCAGCTACTTGGGAGGCTGAGGCGGGAACCCAGGAGGCGGAGGTTGCAGTGAGCCAAACATGCCACTGCACTCCAGCCTGTGTGACAGAGCAGGACTCCATCTCAAAAACAAAAACAAAAGAAAAACACCTGGGTCCAAGTCTCAGCCTCATCACGAGTGTTAAAACCTTGGCTTAGTCCCCGAACCTCCCTGTACCTGCATTTCCTCCTTGACACAATGGGGATATGACCCTGTCTCACCAAGATGGTGTGAGGACTGAAGGCGCATAGTAGGTCCTCAAGCTTTGGGAGCTTTTTCCTCTCTCCTTCCTATGCACAGCCAGCCCTGGAGAATGGACACAAGGGACCTCGGGCTTCGTTGCTCTTGCTCCAGCTGTGCCTGTGGCTGACCTCCTACTGGTTGAGACTTAGGAGGACACTGGGGTCTGAGCAAGCTGGGGCATCTTCCCCCGCAACCCTCTAGGGGTCCCTTGGGATTTGATGTTGCTGGGGCTCTGCCTGTAACAGAGAAGATCAGGCCTCACAGTAGCAGAGGACAGGAAGGCAGGCGCCCAGGGAGCCTGAGCAGGGCGAGAGGCCTGGCCTCCACCTCTACTGACTCTCTGGGGAAGGGGTCTTTGCACCTGGACCTGGCTTTTGCTGCCTGCTCCCCATCCTCCACTCCTTGGGCACTGGGGCCCAGAGAGGAAAGAATCTAGACAGGCTGTCCATTGATCCCTGAGAAACAAATACTTTTTACCCTAATCTTATAAGGCCTGTGTTTTCCGATAGGGATCTGAACTGAGAGAAGCACTTGAGATGAGAGCTCTGAGGCCTGTGGGGGCGCCTGGGAGTTACCAAGCTCCTGGGACATCAGTGCCCTCTCTGGGCTGTTCCCGTGAGCCTCCCCAGGCACTAAAGAGCTGGAGTTGGAGATGGGCTTGCTGCCTCCCTAGGGTGCATTTAGAGATTCCTGGGGATTCCCTTCAGTTGCTGCCTCCTGTGGGCCACGGCTGTGAAGGGGAGCCTCAACTCAGGGGAAGGTCCACTTAGTAGGGCCCTGAAGGATGAATGGGATATTTCCAGACAGAGACTGGCAGGAGCACTCTCCAGCAGAAGGAACAGCAGGTACAAAACCATGGAGGTGGGGAGACACTCTATGGTCAGAAATGGCAGAGGTGTGCACATGGCAAGAATGTTGGGTGCAGGCAGGGAGAGGACCCTGGGAAATTAAATGAGGCCAGGGCGTGGAGAGCCTCATGTGCCAGCCTGGGAAATTTGGGCTTTCTTTGTGGGCTGCATGGGCAGAGCTGGGATTCCAGTTGACAGCATCCTCTGGTAGCCAAGACTGAAGTCTAAAACATGCTTTGATGGCAGTGACCCTGCCCGGAGAGCGTCCCATATGAACAGAGGGTACAGTGGAGAATGGATGTCGGGGGGCGGTTTGGGAAGGGGATGTCCTGGCTGATAGGGCAGTGAGGAGGGGAGGTGCCTCCGGCCTCCAGCCAGGATTGAGAGCCAAGTGAGCAATGGGCCCTGCCTCTTGGCACCGTTCGGTCACCCACAGTGTGCTTGTTCCTCTCCTCCCATACAAAGGCCAGGGCAGGGGGTGCAGCTGGGGGGGGCCTGCCCTGCCCTCAGGGAGTCTCTGGGCTGTGAACACCAACCTCCAGGATGGGGCCTTCTAGGGGGACTCTGAAGCCAGATACCCAGCAGACCAGGATGTGTGTTTTAGCTCCAAGAGCCTTGGCGACTCTGGTGATGGAGAGAGCTCTGGAGCTCATTAAACTTGCAGCCAGAGTGGTGGCCTCTTCCTGTTGCTTCCACGTTGCTTTCCTGGTCTACCTCTGCGGTGCCCAGGTCTGGTCTTTCTGGATCTGGAAGTCATGGCTTTAAACCTCTACCCTGCCTCTCTCAAGTGCACACAAATTACTCTGACCTTTTTCCAGTCTCCTCTAGTTCATAAGGCTGAGGATTCAGCTTTTCAGTCCACTGCATTGTACTTGTCTCTGAACGTATCCTTCACCTGAGCTAGGTAGGGAGCTCCCTGAGGCTGGATTGAGGCCTTATTCAACTCTGCCAGGCAGAACTTGGTGCCTTGTGAGGAATGGATGGATGGGTGCATGGATGGATGGAAGGGAGGGAGGGAGGGAGGGACACAGGAAAGAGGGAGGGAGAGAAAGAAAAACAAAAAAGGAGGGAAGGGAAAAAGAATGAATGGATGTATAGAAGGAAAGAAGGGAGGGAGGGAGAGAGAAAAGAAGGGAGGGAGGATGAGTGGATGGATGAGTGCATGAATGGATTTAAGAAAGGATGAATGGATGCAGGGAAGGAGAGAGGAAAGGAGGAAGGGAGAATGACGCGCTGGTGAAAGAAAGGAGGGATAGGCCAGGTGGGGTGGTTCTTGCCTGTAATCCCAGCACTTGGGGCAGTCAAGGCAGGAGGCTTGCCCGAAGCCAGGAGTTCAAAACCAGCCTGGACAACATAGAGAGACCCTATCTCTACAAAATATAAATAAATAAATAAATAAACAAACAAATAAACAAACAAATAAATAAATAAAATTTAAAAACAGAAAGGAGGGACAGATGGATGGAAGGAAGAAGGCATATGGACCACACTTGATAGTGGCTCAGGAGACAGTTTTCTGAAAATTGCACAATGCTCTGAACCAACAGGACTAATAGTGTCCCCTTGGCATAGCTTAGGCAGATCTCTTCCTGTTTCTAGGCCTCAGCTCCCCATTCGTAGCACGTGGTGTCTACAGACTGCTCTCACTCCGTCATTCTGCGATGCCAGCTTTGTCGCTTCCCTTTGCTCCCAACTTCCCCCAACACAGAATGTGGTTTGGAAGGTCCACATACTTCTTGGTTCCCAGATCCCTGCCAGGTTGAGTGTCAGGCCCTGTGACCATGGTTAATCCAAACAAGACTGTTCTGGGACTTCCAGGGCACCCCCCTGGGTCGGGGAGGGGCATCACTGCAAACAAGGAGGCCCCTAGAGGCAGCATAGCTGCCTCCTGCTGCTGACACAGGGTGCAACCTCGGCCCTCCTCCAAGTGATCTATGAGGGCAGGTCAGAGAACAAAGGTGTCACCCCTTACAGACTATAGCCCAGAGCTGCCTCCTGGAGATGGCACTGCTTTGGCCATGGCTAGGTAGGGAGAAGGGGAACCCAGAGGAGTGGGGTACAGTGAGGACATGCAGGCGGGAGTGACTATCTAGGCCCCTGAGGGCTGACTGGCAGGGGCCCATCCGCCCAGGGCAGGGCCAAGGGAGGGCACAGTATGTTAGAGTCCTGGTGGGCCTGGTAGGAGACTGTGAGAAGAGACCTTGCCCCAGGATCCAGTCTGAGCAGGAGGATTTGAAACTCAGAAAGCTGCTCGATTCTGTCTCCTCGGTACCCATGCCTGCTGCAGGCTAGAGAAACCCAGGGGGTCAGTAGATGAGACCTCCAAACCAAACCAAAGGGTCTCCCGAACCTCTTTGCAGGGGGCCCAGGGCCAGAGCAGGTGGTTCTGGACAGGCATTCCTTTTCACTGGTGCTGTCTGAGAGAGTAGGAGCCCACACATGTTTGGGAAGCCCCAGGCCTCCAGCAGCTTCTTCCTCCCTCCCACTCACACCCTTACCCTAGGGCTGGAAAAGAGTCAAGTAGAGCCTATGGGTTATGGTGCCTTTGGAGATCCCTGGTGCAATTCTCCTGATGCCTGAACCCTCAAACAGTCGCTCTCACAAAAGATCTTTCAGCCTCTATTTGAGTACCTCCAAGGACAGGGAATTCATTACCATGTTGTGGTGCAAGTTCCTAGGAAGACAGAGAGAGGGGGTACATTTTAAAAAGCTGTCTAAGACTATGGGGAAGACATACATTTTTTTCAGTTCTAGGCAGGATAGAACCTGAAAGAGACCACATGAGGGAGGTACAGACTCATGAAAAAGCAGCAAAGAGCCTGGAGTTGGGAGAACAAATGGAGATCTGGCCTCTGAGGGGCTTCATTCCACTCTAGCTATCCCCTCTTATTTCTTTGCAAACTTCAGCCCCAGCAGGCTGGGTCACTTTTATTGGGCAGGGTGTAGCTAAATGCCTTAACCAATCAGTTCCAAATCACAGTGGCTGAACACAATGGGAGTTTATTTCCCACTCAGGTCTAACAGTTCAATGTGGGTATTTGGCGGATGGGATGTCTTTCTTTTCAGGGACCCAAGCTCCTTCCCTCTGTAGTTACGCTAGTTCTTGGGGCTTCCACATTTAGCTGGCAATAGGGAAAGAAGAGAGCATCAATAGGGGGAAGAAGAGAGCATGGAAGACAGAGTAGGAGGGTTTTAGAGCCTGCCCTGGCGGTCTTGCAGGTCCCCCGTGCCCTGAGGAGAGAAATGTAGCACGTTGTGATGCAGGGGGCCTAGTGCAGGCATCTCTCCCAGCCTGGCCCTGGGACTGGACAGAGGCAACCCAGGCTTCTCCACTCTGGGTGGGCCTCCCCCTGACACTGTGTCTTTATCCCCACAGTATGTGGCCTTCGCTTCCCTCTTCTTCATCCTGGTCTCCATCACCACCTTCTGCCTGGAGACCCACGAGCGCTTCAACCCCATCGTGAACAAGACGGAGATCGAGAACGTTCGCAATGGCACACAAGTGCGCTACTACCGGGAGGCGGAGACGGAGGCCTTCCTCACCTACATCGAGGGCGTCTGTGTGGTCTGGTTCACCTTCGAGTTCCTCATGCGTGTTGTCTTCTGCCCCAACAAGGTAGAGTTCATCAAGAACTCGCTCAACATCATTGACTTTGTAGCCATCCTGCCCTTCTACCTGGAGGTGGGGCTGAGCGGCCTGTCCTCCAAGGCTGCCAAGGACGTGCTGGGCTTCCTGCGCGTCGTCCGCTTCGTGCGCATCCTGCGTATCTTTAAGCTGACCCGCCACTTTGTGGGCCTGCGGGTCCTGGGCCACACGCTCCGCGCCAGCACCAACGAGTTCTTGCTGCTCATTATCTTCCTGGCCCTGGGCGTGCTGATCTTCGCCACCATGATCTACTACGCCGAAAGGATAGGGGCACAGCCCAACGACCCCAGCGCCAGTGAGCACACGCACTTTAAGAACATCCCCATCGGCTTCTGGTGGGCCGTGGTCACCATGACGACCCTGGGCTACGGAGACATGTACCCGCAGACGTGGTCCGGCATGCTGGTGGGGGCCCTCTGCGCGCTGGCGGGCGTGCTCACCATCGCCATGCCCGTGCCCGTCATCGTGAACAATTTCGGGATGTATTACTCCTTAGCCATGGCTAAGCAGAAACTACCAAAGAAAAAAAAGAAGCATATTCCGCGGCCACCGCAGCTGGGATCTCCCAATTATTGTAAATCTGTCGTAAACTCTCCACACCACAGTACTCAGAGTGACACATGTCCGCTGGCCCAGGAAGAAATTTTAGAAATTAACAGAGCAGGTAGGAAACCTCTTAGAGGCATGTCGATCTGACCTTTCACCTCCGCCCCTTGTAGCGATGATTCCAGATCCAGTCAGACTGCTTCCTTAGTTCCGTGGGTGACCCCGGACCCCGCACTCAGTCTCGAGGTGTGGAGCCTGAGGGCCCAGGGAGATGCTGGGCGGCCAAATTCAGAAGGCGAGAGCCTGCTAGAGGAACCTCACTGGTGCCCCTGGGTAAGGAGGTTGACGCGGTTGGTCTCCTGATGTTCTGAAGAGACAACGCGGCCCGCCAGGTTGCTGAGGACTAACTTAGCAGGAGCCGGGGGGCTCTGCTCGGCGGGGCAGGAGTCCCGCGTGAGGCTCTGACTCAGGCCACTGACCCGGTGTTGGGACAGGGCAGGGGCGGGTGTGATTTGGAAATGCCAGACAGCCTTTGATCTGGTCCTTACCACAGCTCCCTTCAGGCTGTGTAGAGGGCAGAGATGGTGCATGGGATCTGGGCAGGAGGGTCCCTTGCAAAGAAAGGAGCAAGGGTTCTCACCCCCAGCAGAGCCTGTCTCCATAGCTGAGTAGAATTCCTGCCCTGATTCGGGCTGCCCAGCTCCAGATCCTTCCCAGGAGACACCTGTAGCCCTCCGTGACAAGCTTACTTACCCCATAGCATGCCGAACCAACTCATCTTCTACCACCACTCTAGAGTTTAGCCTTTATCTTTAGGAACCTGTTGGAGTGACTCTAGCTTTCACGTTGTCTGTTTGGGTTGATGGTCGAGTGGGAGTTTCCGGTGACCTGATGGAAGCAGCTGCCGAGCAAAGGACTAGAGGGGGCCGCCACCCTGGGCAGCTTAGATGAAAGCGCTACAGACCAGCAACAGCCTCCCACCAAGGGTTCTCCCCATTTCCAGCAGTAGGGACTGCAGCAGCAATATAGACATCCCAACCAGCGTACAACCACTTTCCCGAGAATTCACTGGGGGCCGGGAGGGGGGAAGGGGGGCATGAAACAATACTAGTCACCGTGGGATATATTCTAATATTCCATGGCTAGTGGTTCGTTATGGGACTATCTCAGTTTTATGAGAACCTGCACATAGCACATAAAGTTGATCATGGGGCTCTGGTCCGAAGATATAAAGCCCATAGTCTACCTCTACCCATGGAATACCATCGACTTATTCTGTGGACACAGGGATTTCAAAGGAACAGATGACCCAGAGAAGAATGACAGCACTGAGTAAGAAGGAGTGCCGGGTGAGCGGGAGGTTGACATGACAGTTAGGTGGCATTTAGTCTATGAAGGACCTCCCCATGCCCAGGTCTGGCAGGAGGCTGCGTGGCTAGCTCAGCCCCAGGTGGGGAAGTTTCCCCCTGGTTTGGGTGGCCTCTCCCAGTGGACGAATGATTTTCTTCCCTGCTATCACGCTCTCTGACCCACCACCCCATCCCGATCCTCTCCTGGCTTTATCCCACAGCTATGCTGGCCTGAGCACTACGCCCAAGGCCCATTTCTTTGCCCATGGGGGCTTCCCGGCCCTTTCACCCTGCCTCATACCCTCCCCTTCCTGGGATTTCTGTAGGTGCCTGAGAGGAACATGGCCAGGGGTGGGCAGGGGTCTCTGAGGCTGAAACAGCTCCGAGCTCTCTGCTTTGGATTAGCTAGTTACTTGATTTCAGGAGCTGCCAACAGGGCTCTGGGCCTCTAGGGGGAAGGTGTGGGCTGGCCAGGCCCCAGCTTCCATGTGGGCCTAGCAAGAAGAGCTCAGCCTGAGTGGCATCACTGTGGCACTACCTGGTCCTTCCTTTGCATCCTCCCCAACACTGGATCTTTCAGGATTTTTGCCCCAAGCACGGTTGCCCCAGGCCAGCCAGTCAAGAATCCCCACTGCTCTCCAGGCAGGCCCAGATTCCTCTGTACTCTTGGACAATGACAGTATTATCCTGTGCGGAGTCCCCCTGCCCCCCAGGGAGTGCAGATGTGTTTGTTCAGACATGCACACCAGCTAATCCCAGGACACAAAACCTGTAAAACCCATGCACTCCTGTGGGATTGCCCCTGGGCTCCACAGTCTCTCCCCAGCCCTGCTTTTGGGAGCCACCTTGCCCTAGTCTCAGGTTTCAGGGGCCCAGAAAGTTCTGGCTTGGACAGTCTCTGTGACTGAGGAAGTATTTGGGGCCCTCCCAAGTTTGCCCACTGGAGCTTGGATGCCTGGATCCCTCCTGCCTCCCCAGCATCCCAGCTGTGCTCCCAAGCCCTTCCCAAGCACTCACTTCCCAGTGGTGTTGGTGCTGTCCTGATATCCTGACCCCTGAAGCTCCAGCCTCATCCCTCACCAGAATACTTCTCCCTCCAAAAGCTGGCATGTGAGACCTCGGCTATCCACCACCAAGAGGAGCTGTGGTCTTTAGGGGCGTCGTCCCCACCTCTGCACCCCGGAGTTCTTCCCATTCGCCTTTTTTCCTACTTGCAGCCATGCACCTAGATGGGCAAAGGGTTGGGGTGAGTTTGTGGGAGAGTGAGGGGGAGGCCAGGGGCAAGGAGGGTAAATGTGGCCCCACGGGAATTGTGAGAGATGAGATGCAGCCCCCCAAGACCTTTATAGCCTCACTGTACCCCCAAGGAAGTCTAGTGGCCTCGCCAAAACCTGAGGTTCTCCAATTCCACTTTTAAAACCAGAGTTAGGGGCTGTGTGTGGCATGCTGGGTTCTGAGGGCATCCCTCCCGCTCCCCCAGGCCAGCCCCCAGTGGTGCCAGCAGCACCTGCCCCTCACCTCCACCTCTTGGTCTCGCCTGAAGCCTCAGTCTGTGTGTCTGTCCCAGGGACAATCTGGTCTCCTCCTCTGTGCTGTGGCTGGCATGGCCTCAGTGTCTGAGGTCTTGTCCTGGGAGGGGTATCAAGAATCCAGTTCTCACCTGGTTGTAAGACCTCTTGGGGGATGCTAGGAGGGTACCCTGGCACAGCCAGGGATTGCCTGGGGCTGAGGGGCCTAGGAGAAGCTACTTCTCTCCCAGAAAGGGGCTCCCTCCTGCATCTGCATTTGGACGCCCAGACCGCCCGCTCTGGACAGCCCACAGTGCCTCCTCCGTCCTGCCATGCCCATTCGCATGTGTCTTGTCCATCTCTGCTCCTGTGATGTGGGTCAGTCCTTTGTGGTGCCGCGTCCAGGGCTGCAGGGTCCCACGTTGGTGAGCAGGGGGTGGCCAGGAGGGAGGGGTGGTGGCTGGGCTCCCTTCCTGCCCAGGGCACCTAGAACAGCCGCGAGGTCCCAGAGAAGCCCCTGCCTGGGTTCCCTGGGAGCTAATCCTGCAGCCTCTGGGTTATCTTTGGCCAAGGGGTCTAAAGTCCCCTATCCCCAGCCCCTCTACTTCCCCTGCTGGGCTGCAGTGGCTGCCCAGTGAGTGGTGCTATCCATGGGCAGGGAGGGTGCTGGGCAGAGCTGACTAGGCAGCGGGTGGGGCTAAAAGAGTTTCTGCAGGGACCCAGCTGCAGGGTCAGCAGCATGGGCCCTGAGTGGGGTCCTTGTTGTCCTCAGGTGGGCTGTGGGGGAAGTAGCGGAGAAATGAAGTGACACTGCGGGCCAGGCATGGGTGTTCTTCTCCGTGTTGTTCACATTTTCTCTCTTTCTCTCTCTCTCCACTAATGTTTTTCTCTCTCTCTCTCTCCTCGTTTTGTTGCATGACTTGTGCCGGTTCTCGTGATTGTTCCCTGCTCGTGTCTCACAGACTGTCCCCATTTAGCCTGGGACTTTTTTCCTGAGTCCCCAGCTGGGCAGATCCCTTGGGGCTAAACCCAAGGAAACGCCCAGCAACCCCCACCCCACCCCAGCCCCGCGTGCGCCCCTCTGGTGCCCGCAGCTGGTGTGAACAGTAAGTACTTTGGCGGTGCCTGGAGACCAGGGCAGAAAAGCCAGCTCTGCTGACTGAGGGCCCAGCCTCGGGTTCTCCTTGCTCCAAAGTTTAAAAAAAAATGACCCTCTCGCGGATGCTCATCTCAGCCCATTTCAAGCCTGGAAACCATCTCTGAGACGCTCTCCATGCTGCCATTTCATCACTGCAGGCCTGTGGGTCTAGTGGGGGCCTGGGGGCCCTGGGCTGGGGGAGGCAGGGCCCCCAGCCTCTAGAAAGCAGGTGGGAACGGAGGCTCCTAGCCACTATCTCATCCAAAGGACGGGGCAGGGGCGGGGGCTTACACCTTTGGCCTTCTTCACGGGTTTCCCAAATTTATACAGTTGGCCCCTCCTTGGTTTCTCTTTCTTCCAGCCACCCCTCTGGAGTGGGGGAGGGAGAATGCCCCAGTTTCTGAAAGCATCTTAAACCACAGATAGACTAACAGCCAGTGGGACTGGGCCCATTCACAGAGCAACGCTTAAACTTCCCCACCCAATCATTAGCCCCTCCTCAAAGGTTAGGGTTGAGAGAAGCACGCCCTAGAGGTGTCCCAGGAATCCCCCAGGAGGGAAAGGTGCCAGGCTGTCATCCCTCTAGGGATCCCTGATGGATGCTGCTTGTCCCCTGCCCAAAACCATCCCCAACTTTGGGCCCTTTAGAGATTGTGGGAGCTGGGAGCCCCCAGGGCCTGGGGGCTTGTGGGCAGAGCCAGTGGGCGGGGGCCCAGCATTCAGAGCCAGAGAAGGGTCTCAGGTGGCACCATCTCCGCAGAGGCAGACGCAGAGGCAGAGAGAAGGCACCCCCCCACTCTGACCCATCCCCCCCAGGCAAGAACTGCAGGCTGTGGACACCTCCCCTGGCAAAGGATGGCCAACAGAGACTCCGAGAGTCCTCACTCCCCGCCCAGAAGGAGACGCTGCCTGGAGGACCCACTGTTCTCCCCTTGAGGAAAATTCATGCAGGGTGCTATGGGCCTCAACCCCCACATCGTCATACGCATCCTCTCCATAATGTTTCCCTCCCCTCTCCCAGCACCCTCCTCCCTCAGCCCGGAGACCCTTGGATGGAAGACGGGGCCAGCCAGAGTGGGAGGCAGAACCAGCGTGTCTGTGAGCACATGTGTGTGCCTGCAGACATGCCCCCAGACCCCAGAGATGCCCCGGCCCCAGTCACATGGTGTCAGAGTTACCTTGGCAACTGGCCTTTTTGGTTCAGAGTAAATTGGGAAGTGAAGCCCCTGGGATTTGTCAAGAAACGCACTGTACGTGAAATGCTTTGCCATCTTGTACGAAAGACTTTTTTTTAAGTTCCAAAATTATGATGGGATTTTTTTGGATTTGCTTTACGAATAAACCTGATTGGTCCATTTCTCTTTTGACTGACTGCCTCTTTGTAGTGACATGATGTGTACACGGGTGGTGATCCCACCCACGTGCACGCCCAGTGTGTGCACGTGGGGAAGGATCACTTCTGCGTGTAGTTACATGATGTGAACAGGATCACGGGAGAGTGTTCAATCGGGTGGACATTGTCTCCAACCTTTTCGCCCTGTCTACTCTTTCAGAGAGCCTCCCCTAACGTGGTCATGCCCAAGTTGGTTTCCCTCTTCCACAAAAGGGCTTGTGCTTGAGGCTGTCACCCTAGATGAAGTATTGGAGTTGGCTCCACCCTGGCCAGGAAGATTCTGCTTTGAGGGCAGAGAGTTTGGGGCAGGTTCGGTCCTCAAGAGTGATGGGATGGGGGCAAAGACCAGTTAGGGCTACCTCTGTCAGCTCCAGAGGCTTCCACGGCTCTGCTCCAAGATCTTGGAGAGACGGGGCTCCTTGCTCTGGCCACATTTTGGCCCCCACCAAATGTGCTCCCAGACCTCCTCCCAGGCTTCTTCTCAGGCTGCCACAGAGGTCAGAACTCCAATTTCCCCCACCCAAGTCCATCAGCCGCTGTTGTCTTCTACACCTTCATCTGCCTTGCTTTGCCGGGGACACTGACCAGAGGGGACAGAGGAATGGGAGCCCCTCCCAAATCCATGTCCTGCTGTCACAGCCTCATGCATACATCCTTGTGGTGCCTGTGCAAGCTGACCAGGCCTGCTGGGGGCAGCATGGAGTGGAAGACACTGGCTTGATATGTGTGGGGACCAGAGCAGACCGAGTGATCAGCTTGGGTCTGTCCGTGTGGGGGATGGAGCAGATGGAGTGGTCAAATTGGGTTTGCATGGGCAGAGAGGAAACTGTGTGACCAGGACTGGTCTGTATGGGGGTCGGGGCATACAGTGACTGGACCAGGTCCGTGTGGGAACAGAGTAGACTGTGTGACCAGGCTTAATCTGTACGGGGAACAGGGCATACAGAGTGACCTGCTTGGGTCTGTACGGGGTTGGGCGGGGCGGGCGCAGGCTGAGTTATTAGATGGGGAGTGGGGGCGGTGTGAACCAGGTGATCAGATGAGATCCAAACGGGAGATGGGGTAGAGTAGATGAGGTGGTCTGGGCGGGGCTAGGGAAGCCCAAGCAACTGGCTGGCTGCGGACGGGAGGCAGCCGGGCTCTGGTCAGCAGCAGAGGGGTCCGGAAAGGCCCCTCTCTGGGCTGGAGTGTTTCTGCGTGTCAGTGTCTGTCTTCTCCCTGAGCTGTGTGTCTGGCTCTCCCCCATGACTGCATCCACACCATCCTGTTTCATCGGCCCTGCCTGGGGCTCGGGGCCGACCCCCAGCACCACACCTGCTGGGCCCATCACCAACTCATCTTTTTGCAAACTTTGAGCAAACCCAGGAGTCCCCACTCCCAGCACTGTGGGCAGCCCGAAGGCTGCCTGAATGAGCTGAACTCCCCCAAGCCCCCTGCCTTGTGCCTTCCTCCCTCCACAGCCCGCCCGCTTTTCTGTCCTCAGGGACACTCGAGCTGCCCTCTGCCACTACCCCGCTTCTGGCCTGTCCCCCCCTGCCCCCCACTAAACAGTTTTCAGTGTCTCAATAGCTTCTGCTTATATGTTTGAAGATTCCAAACTGAATGGGGAGGTGGCGAAGGCCGCGCTGGCGAACGAAGACTGCCCCCACATAGACCAGGCCCTCACTCCCGATGAGGGCCTGCCCTTTACGCGCTCGGGCACCCGCGAGAGATACGGACCCTGCTTCCTCTTATCAACCGGGGAGTACGCGTGCCCACCTGGTGGAGGAATGAGAAAGGGTATGTAGAGGAAGCTGGAGCACTGTGCATCGTCCGGGCCGCCTCGCGCTCCTGCAGATGGGTGGGCAGGGCGGCGGGCAAGGGCGCTGAGGGGCAGGCAGGCACACCGAGGGGGGCAAGGATGGAGGGAGTCTGCCAGGGTCGGCCCCTGGAGGGCTGAGGTCCTTTCCCCCAAGTGAGATGTCAGGCTCGAAGAGAGAACCTGAGGCCCTGGCAGCTGTGGGTTGGTATTGAGCTGGGAGTTGAGAGGTGACTGGACAGGTTGACTTTAGGCCATGACCCCAAGGCAGGGGGTATCCAGGAATGCAGGAGGAGCCTTGACTCCCCTAGGTTGCTCTGGCAGATGGCAGGTCAGGTCCCAAAGGCAAAGTGATCTCTCCTCTCCCCTGGTTGAGGAGGGCAGTGGAGTGGGCCAGGACCCTGTGAACTTAACTACCCAAGATCCATGTTCTTGGCATGGAAGAGGTATCCTTGAAAGATAATCAACCCACAGGCCAGAGGGAGGAGAGGCAAGAAGAGAGATGTCTTCAGGGCTTGGGGGTAAGGCCATTGTCCTTGTAGTCAGAATATTGCCAGTGGCAGATCGAGAACTTGCCAAGAGAAGGTGGTTGAGCAGGACGGTGCAGCGCCTTCCATCCCCAGCACCTGTGAGCTTCTGCCCTGGGTGTGGTCAGCACCCTCTTGTGGTTGGTGAAGGCTGAGGCCACTGGTGGCCTCTGTTCCAGGTCTCCTTGTAGTCAGAACGCTAGGCAAACCCCACTGGAAAGAAAGGCTTCTCCTAGAGCTTCAGCACGGGCTGGGGAGAGGCTTGGGGTGGGGGCCCAGGGCGCCTGAGCTCAAGGCTCCAGGTACTGGCCCGGACCTAGAAGGCAGAGGACGCCTTTCTTGGTGCAGCAGACTGGCTGGGCAGCTCGTGCATGTCTTGAAGCGCCTCACATGCGCACACAGATGCATGCTGACCGGGGTGAGCAGGCTGGGTCAGAAAAGGAGTTGGGTTTTTGAAATCAACAGTTGGTGCAGCCTATGGTCACTCACAACTGCTCCAGTATTTGAAGTGATTAAACCATATGCAGGAGAAAACACAGAATGCAAAAGCAAAGGCAAACCGAGAAGAGCAGAGGCAGCCCGCACAGAGATGAGGGAACGTGGTTCTGGTCACTGGTGCTTAGTTGTGCCCACCTGATCTAGGCTGGTCTCTGCTTCTCTGCCCTGCCCAGCGGTCCTTTGGGCCCTGGCACGGTATGCAACTCCCTGCATGGTGCTGCATGGCGGAGGGCTGCCAGCCTTCAGGAGGGTCCCATTCTTGGCACCGGCCATGGATGGGCCTGATGTTCCCCTTTGCGACTGGCTTTTTCCCAGTTGGAGGTGCTAGAATCCCCAGAAGCAGAATACCCAAAGAGTGAGGGGAAAAGCAGGTAGATGGTTTCCAGTGTCCGTGCCTGCCCAGGAAGCTCTCGTGGGCTTTCTGTCTCCGTCATCTTGAATGTTAGACCAATTGGTGTGGCCCCAGAGAGCAGGCAGGACAGTCTCTTTACTGTGCTGCCGGAAGCCCAGGGAGTGTGGGACAGGAGCAGACCCCCTCCCTGCAGTGGCTGGGAGTCCAGTGGTAAGCACGGTCCATAGGAGATACCCATTCCTCAGTCCCACCGAGGCTTAGGTGCCAGAGTCTTTGGGAGGCACTAAGGGTGAAGTGTTCCCACCCACATCCATTTGGCCCGCGCTCTCATGGAGCCATGACAGCCGCCGAGGACTTGTTTTTCTCAGGCTAATTCTGAGCCACAAGGCATGCAGGTGTGTGAGTCAATGTGCAGAGCAGAAGTAGGGACTCATCCCATTCCCCCAGGAGAGAGAGAAAGAGGCGTGCTAGGCTGGCTCAGTGCATGGGCAAACCAAGCCAGCTGGAGAAGAATCTGCCTGCCTCTGCATGCGGCTGTTCTGTCTTTCCTCCTCCTCCTTAAAAACTAAGTACCAAGCGGGATGGGAGAGCCAAGAAGAGAAGCTCAAGTGTTAATTGTATTCTTTACATACAGATCTTTGCAAAGAAAGCCCTGTCATTGCTAAGTATATGCCGACAGAGGCTGTGAGAGTGACTTGACCAGGCGGCTTGGCCGAGGACACTGGTGGCTATTAAGCATCTGGGTGGATCTGCAGCCCCTCCTCACCCTCGGACAGAGTAAATTCACGCCATGCAGGTTTGCCGGACGAGTCCGAGTGGCCCAGGCATTGTACTAGGACGGACGTAGCTTTTTCTACGGCCAAATGGTAACTGACCGTAGAGGATTTCTTTTCCTTCTTTTCATTTTTTAAAATTTTATTTTATTTGGGGAGGGGGGGTGGAGGGGCTCCTTAGCATGACTTGCATGAAGTTAAACAGAAAACCCAGCAAACCAAACCCACCAACCCCGTGCAACTGTATGATTACCCTGAACAACAATAACGAAAAGGAAAACATCAAAAGCCCTCTATTTTCTTTCAAAGCTCTTGACTTTGACACATGTTGTTGGAGCCAAACTGTAACAGCGTTCGGTAGAAACCTGTACATTTCTGGGGGTGAGGGGCGAGGGGAGGAGGGACGGAGATGGGGAATGGATTGCTTCCTTTTTGTACACAAGATCGAGAGGAAAGCTTCCAAAAAGGGCAGTTGGTCAGTCATCGGTCATATTGACCTCACCTTCATAGTTCATCTCTCACGTGGAAACTGAGAACTTTGCTCCAAATAGAATTGTGGAAACTCGCACGGCTGCCTTCTTCCCCGTTTGGCATGCTTGTGACCCAGCGGACATCTCCCCAAGACCCCTGACAGCAGCTAGTCTAGGTTGATTCTCTCATCTTATCGGTGTAGATCCAGTGTGACCAACTTTCATAACAAATTGTTCATAGTAAATAATCACCACATATGGATTTTCCAAGTGTTCCATTAAAACCAGGATGTAGAGCACCAAAAGATCAGGACCACGGGAGGAGCACCCTCCTCCACCTTTACTAAGGCACAACCTGGCATCGTATGCAATTTAGTACTTCAGAGTAAAAACCTGCATGCCCAATGTTATGCAAAGCGATTCTAGCATGAAATAAATTTTGTATCATGGTTTCTGTATAGTCTAAAGCAGATTTGTTTTCCTGAAGCAGTCGGAGGTTTGCAGAGACACACTTCTGCATCTCGAATAAATATAGTATTTTCCCAACAGAAACAGAGGACAGTAGCTTGGCTTTGGTCTGATTCTAAAATTAGTGGGGTGGGGGGGAAGGATGATATTTTTGAAAAACACATGCTTGAGTTGAAAAAAATGCAACATCTCGAGCTTTCACTGCAGCTCACAACATTTCCTGGAAAGAGAGCAATGATGCTTTAGCTCAACGACCTCCCCTCCCTGGGCCCTGGCCCCCGATAATAAAAAACTGACTTTTGAGATGAAGCATGAATTTGGGTTTTTATTGCCTTCAGGCAGTGTCGTGGTTCTGGTCTGGGCCTCTGGTCCCCTGTGGCTGGGCTGGGGTAAACCTGGGCCCTGGCTGCTCTCGTCTCAGGTGCTTGTCGTCTCGCTGGGGGAAAGTCAGGCCCTAAGGAAGAAGTTGCCCTCTACAGCTTGGTTGGGCAGGGTGGCCCCTTGGGCTGCAGATCCTGTTGGGTCAGGGGAGGGAGGCAGCTTTCAAAGCCACAGGGCTTATAAGGTCCTAAGACCAGAACATCCTCTAGGGGGTTCACCTGACCAGGAAACTTCTCCATGAATCATGCCATACTGATGGGCCATGTTAGAGCTCCCAGCCCCTTATGCAGACATGGTCACCTCACTTCTAAGGCCATTTTTGACTCTGATGAAGCCAGAGGTAGGGTTTGACTGTCAGATCTGGGTGCCCTACCCAGCAGCACCCTTGCCAGGCCAAGTCTGATGGATGCCCTCATCACATACCCCTCTCTCGGCCTGGAGGCATCTTGGGAGGGGTAAAGCCCTCTCCTAGGGATCTTGACTGTCTTGGGTTGTTCACTTGGTTTTGGTGGCAAAGTGGAGGTTTGGGGTTCCAATTCTTTTCTATCCATTAGAGACTCCAGGAATGCTTAGGTGGAAAGAGTCCATAATGGCCATGAGAGTCAACCTCTGAGCATTTTCCAGATGAGGAAATGAGGCCCAGAGAAGGTAGGGATCTGCCCAGGGCCACAGACAAGTGAGTGTCAGTCTCCCTCTGATTTTTGTCCCCTTGATGCCTCCCAGCATGGCCTGAGTCCATGATCAGATGGGCGGGTGGGAAGCTTCAAGTGTGTATCAAATTCTCATCTAACAGTTTTTCATCATCTCCAAGTATTGGCCTCAACTTCCTGATGCCCCATGCAGTCCAGGAAACAAGGGGTTGGGATCAGTGCAGTAGTGAGTACGGTCAGGCCTCTGCTCAGGGCCTCTACCAGAGCTGCCACCAGCATTCATAAGCATCAGGATGCACAAGCCAAGTAGCCTCTGCTGCTGCAGGGAGGGTAACGTCCACTCTACTTAGGGATCCACCAGCAAAGAAGTGCTGCTGGTGGACTCAAAGTGGGACTCAGCAAAAAGCTGTTAGGAATATGGATTTCCAGGGACACAGAAGCTAATGGGGCAATTAATATGTACTGAGCATCTACTACATGCGGGTGTCTTATACATGTTGTCTAATGACAGCTCACAGTCACCTAACAGCCCCATTTTAGAGGTGAAACAAGGTGCAGAGAGGTAAAGTAATGGCCCAAAGCCACAGAGCCAATGTGTGATGAAGCCAGGGTTTTAACCCAGGTGGTCTGACTCCAGAGCTCAGGTTACAACTGTCTCAAGCTACTTGAGGCCTTCAGGGGCTGGCCATTAGGGGCTGGAAATGATAGGAACACTAGAGTGGCTGGTCCTGAATCCTAGGACCTCAGGACCTGGCCTCCTGCCCTCCTTCAGGAAGTGCCGTGAATGTGACAGAAGGGAGCCACTTCTGACCCTGCCCCAGGCCTCCCCGACACACAGCTGGCCAACTTCACTCTCCTGCTTAAACACCTTGTTGCCCTAAGATTGAAGTTTCAGCTCCTTCAACTAGCTGGCAAAGCCCACTGCCTCACCAGCCGCTCCTCCCTCCTCCCTCCACACTGCAGTCACTCTGAAATTCTGAACTTGTGGCAGTTGCACGGACCCACGCCCTCCCTCTATCACCCCCGCCCCCAACAGTTTCCCAACTAACTCCCTAACTCCCAGTTTCAATTGATCACTAAGTCACTTCACCCAGAAGTGGTGGATGCCTGGGGCTGGTGAGAAGGCTTTAAGCCTGAGCCCTAGGCCTAGATTCACCATTCCTAAGCACAATCTCACCCAAGGCTGATCTCATGGCCCTCACAACCCACCAGGGCCAAGGGTGGTGGGAGTGTCAAGGGATGATGGGGTACTTGTGATCAGGAGGGGAGGGTGAGTATGATAGGGAGGGAGACGTCCCATCAGCATCTGGTCTGTGCTCGACCTTCAACCATCACTCCAAGGGCCAGGCCAATGACCTGGGAGCACAGAGTGGGGCCTGCTCCCCTCTTTCCCTTTCTTCCTTCTCACACAGGAGGAATATGAAGACTGATTCTTTTAGTTCATTGAAAAAAACTAGTTTTTAAAAACAAGCGAGTATTTTCTCAAATAGCCACAGCTCTTATGGCATGTTAGCTTACCAGGTGAATGATGTTGTCATAAATTGACTGTCAAATGGTTATGATATTTGAAAAAGGGCTAAAAGTAGAGGATGAATAGTGACAAAGGGGATCAGAGAATCCACTCATTTACCCTTCCCCCCACGGTGGGTGGGTTATACTGATGAATTCACTCATGGGCATTTATTGGGTACTTCCTCCATTCCAGGACCCCTCTTTGGTGAAGGGGTTCCCAAATTGATGAAGACCTGGTCTCTTGCTCTCAAACAGCTCACAGGCTATTAGGAACAAGGGGCTTGGACATCTACAAGGTCTGATAATAGCCAATAGCAATGCAAGGGTGCAGAAAAAAATCTGGGAGACATTGTCAACACCTCCTCAGTCATTATCTGATGAGTGCTTTCAGACACTCATCAGATTCAGCCAGTGAAGGAGCATGGAGAGAGCCCATCTGCCCAAAACTGATGTCTGGAAAGGCAAAACTGGAGGAACTCAAGGTGACGGGATGGTCTATGATGTCTTCTAGGGCCAGCAGCCATTCATTCTTCCACATGTGGATTATCTGCCCCTGTCTGCTTCTAAGAAGGGTTTGACTCAGTTCTGAGAGTCTGAGGTTCTGCATCAAAGGGCTCAGGAGCTAATGCACCCCCTGATCCTGTTTCAGGCTGGGAAGGAACCCTGAGACACTTCTTTTTGGTGCTCACAAGGAGGTCATGGGAGAGGCAATAGGACTCAGCAGCAGAGGCCTTGGGATTTTGGTTTCTTCCAGCAGTTGCTGAAAGAGGTAGGAGGGAGCTCTGAACTGGAACCTTGTGAGAGAGAGTGCATTGGTTCTTTGTGAGTGGTAACCATGTAGGTAGTATGGGCCTGAGTGCTATCTGGTGTGGGATTGCTTTCCGGCCTGATACAGACCTGTAGGACAGTGGGTGGTGGGCCAGTGACCTTGGGTTGCTCCAATATGGGTCACCTCTGGGCCATCTGATTGCTCCATCTCTGTGGTTTGTTTGGTCATCTTGGCAAATCAAGCTCCGAGTGCATGGAGATATCCTTCCCATTCCTCAAGTTCTTGGAGACTGTACTGGCCTCTATTGGTTCTGAGAGGTGGGGAACCAAGGGATTTGCTGGCCAGGGCAGCCATGTTTCTAGGGTGCAATATTGGGAGGACTCCATGCATGATGTTCAAGGTCAGCCTATGGCTGTCAGTGGTCTCTATGTTCAAGCCTGGGAAGCTCAAGATTGCCCTCATCCTCCTCTTCTGAGCTGAACTCACTCCTGGTCCCAGGGCTACTCTCCATCACACTCTTGTCTCACTCAAGGACTTAGCTGGGTCACTTCCCAATCAGGACCCTGGCCTGGTAGTGAGGTTTATGACCTTCAGATGGTCCCTTCCCCTCTTTTGGCCTCCATTTTCCCACATGAACAAATGAAAATGTTGAATAAAATCAGTGTTGAATAAAAACTTTCTCAAGGACCTCTTGGCAAACGAAATGTTATGTGAAGCCCAATATAGAGAAAAACTAAAGCTGCTTGGAATAAGATGTGTGTGTGTGTGGGACGGGGGAACCTGGACCTCTATCTACCTGGCCTCCTTAACCCACAAAGTGGCCACTGAGTTCTCAGGAGACTCCCAGGACTCTAAAGAATGCAACGTGACAGCCACTAGGCTGGATGGTCTTTCAAGGGCCTTTAACTTTGGTATCCTGGGATTTTGTAACTTGAAGCCACTGCAGCCCAGCCCTAACAGACTCATTCTGAGTCACAAGCAGGCAGTGTGGGATGGGCCACAGACCTGGGCTGCCTAGCTGGTGACACTGCCATATGGTTCTCCAGAGAAAGTCCATTCTCTGAGGTCCTCTGGCAAAAGGCTTGTTGCCAGTCACAGCAGAAAGAAAGGTCCTATGTCCCCCAGAGCCACAGGGAAGTCAGGGAATGGGGATCTAGCCTGGTCTCCATCTTACCTGAGGGCCCTCCTCCTGCACAGGCTAGGGCTTGGTGGGGCAGATGGTCAGGGGTCAGAGTCTTTGACGTTGCTATCCCTACAGACTTCCCTTCTCCTGCTGTGACCTGTCCCTCATCCGAAACAATATATTTTAGCAATTATAGTTACACAAACAAGCTCCAGCATCCTGGCGGACTCAGATGAAGACAAATCGTCTGAGAGTTTCATCAGTTCTAGCCTCTCTTGTCTATCCTAGGGTTTTCCTCTACTGGGTCTTCCCAGAAGTCTTGACTCTTCCTCCACGTACTCCTCTCTACTTCCCTCCACCCCTACTCCAGAACCTTCTCCCTCGCCCCCAGTCACCAAGATAAGAGATCTTTCCTATTTAAGTATCCAGTCATCTGATCAGGGTACCTCGATATCCTTGAACTAGAAAACCATGTGCTCAGGGCCTTAAAAATAAAACTCCAGGAGGGGCTGCTCTAGGCATGTCCCAGGAACCCTCTGTTTTGCTGAATTGAAGGCTGCTGGGCCAAAATAATGAAGGACATAGAACTGGGTTTTCTATCTCCACCAGGCAGGGACAGGCTAGAGCCTTCCTACTGGTGTGTTAGCTTTCCGTATCTTTAGTGAAGACCTAATCCCTCATTCTCCTCTACTGAGTAGAAAGCATGTCTGCCTCCTTGAGTCCCAGGCACTGGGCAAGCAGCCTGCCATCATTCTGGTTTATGGTCAGCCCACCCATCACTGCCTCCTGAGCCCTTCTTTGGCCAACCCCACAGCCCAACAAAGCAATTCTCTGGGAAGGCTTTTGGTGGGAAAAGCCACTTTATTAAAGATTCTCTATCACAGTCCCCCATTTCTGGACCAGTCAGATTGGCTTTGGGTTGAAGTTTCTGATTGTCTTTCCTTCCAGTTTCTCTCTTTGTCCATGGCTTCCTGAGATTCAGTGTCCTCGGTGGCATCTGGGGAAAGGTAGGTGACCTTGGGGTCCTGGACCAATGCAGGGTGAGCTGGTAGCTGGCAGAGGGCCAGGGAGTGGCCAGCCCCACAGCCCACAAGGAGTCCTGATGATGACAGCAGAGCCTGCACCGGCTTCGGGGCCCAGATGTTGGCTTCAGTGCCATCTCCGCACATGCCATGCTCATTCCAGCCCCAAGAGTAACACACTCCACCTGTGAAGGAGAGGGCAGACTGCTGTAGAATAGGTTTTGGATAATAGGGCTGAAAAATTCACCCTGAGGGTACAGGTATCATCATAAACCCCAGTTCACACAGGAAGACGCCGAAGCTTAAGGACACATGGTGGCATGCTCCCCATCCCTACTTTCCTCCCTTCCTCCGAGGGCGGCTGCCCCTCCCACCCCCGAGGCATGCTTCCCATTCCCACAAAACCCACGACTGCTCATGTTCCAAGCACGGCTTTCCTCCTCGGCCCTTCCCTACTGTCACCACCACATATAATCCATCACCAGACCTACTGACTCTGCCTCCAAAAACATCTCAAATCTTTCCCCACATTTCTCCATCTCCTCAGTCAGCTCCAGCCTGATCCAGGCCACCATTTCTCCTACCTGGACCATGCCAATAGCCAACTAACCAACCCAGCTGCTCACTCCATCCACCCTGATCTTCAAAGAGCATCAAGGCGATCTTCGACTACTGCAAATCTAATCACGTGTCACTCTACACCTAAAACCCTTCAGTGACTTTCCACGGTCTTTAAGGAGGCCTTCCCTTGGCCTGTGAGGCCTGAGTGATCTGGCTCCTGACTATCCTGTGGCCTTACTTGCACAACTCTTCCCCTTCTTCTTTGCATCCAGAACCCTGGCTTTCTTTCTGTTCCTTTCTGTTCCTTAAATATGTCCAGTAAGGCCTTCCTATCTCTCAAAGCCTTCAGTTTACTGGGCTTCCAGACCTCTTCATGTTTTCCATTCCAGTTGTCGCTCAGAGGCCAGGGTCTCCGGCCACCCAATCCAAATAAGATTCTCATGACTGCCCATGTATTCTTCCCTCAGGAGGACCTGGCACGCTGTAGTGAGGGATGATTTGTGTGGTGATGTGTTTATTGTCCTCTCTTCACTAGACTATACTCTGTGGTGAGGGACAAAGCATGTATAGTTTCTCCACTGCTGTATCTCTAGGACAGTGCCTGGTACACGGTTGGTGCTCAATAGGTGTTTGCCGAATAGATACAAGAATGAACAAATTCATACAGTCAGAAAGTGGCCAAGCCAACAGTCATGCCCAGGTAACTCCAACACCCCACCAATCATAACACATCTTCCTAGGTTTTAGACACTGTCCTAGGGTCTAAACTCACTCATGTTTTTCTGTGGTTGTTTAAAAAATCTTCTGGATGTAAAAATAATACATCTTCATAACAAAAGAAAAGAAAAGAAAAGAAACAATGGACAATATGGATGTGTAAGGAAAAGCAAACTTGCAGAATCTTGCCCTTGCCCACTACTAGAAATATTTTGGATATCTCTTTCAACCCTTTACTTTGTGAAATTTATAAATATTTGTATATGTTTGTCCCGCTTTTTAACATTATAGCACAACTATTTCTCCATGGATTGTAAACTCTTCAAAAAGTAAATTAAAATTAGTCAGGCATGGTGGCGCATGCCTGTAATCCCAGCTACTCAGGACACTGAGACAGGGGAATCGCTGGAAGCTAGGAGGCAGAGGTTGCAGTGAGCCAAGGTTGTGCCATTGCACTCCACCCTGGGTGACAGAGCGAGACTTTGTCTCAAAAACAAACAAACAAAAAAGTAAATTAAAAATAATTTTCTTCTCAATATGCATTAAAGAACAGAAAATAATTTAATAGAAAGATGCAGATCTCCACTCAGATTAAGAACATTAGCTAACATTTTGCCATATTTACTTCAACTCTTCTCTTAAAAATATCATAAAGATACAGTTTATGCCTCACCTCCTATTCTTGTCCCTCTATCCAACCCTCCTTCCCAGAAGTAACCACTATTTTGAAGTTGGTATACATCATTTGCATGGTTGTTTTATATTTTTCTACATAGCTATATCCTTAAATATTGTGATCTTTTTAGTTTGTTTTAAAGACTTACACAAATAGAATCATTCACATATGCTTTTTTTTTTTTTTTGCAAGTTGCTCTTTACACTTATCATTGTTTTCGAAATTTATCTGAGCTGGTAGTTACAGATTTAGTTCAGTTATTTTCATTTTAACTGTGCATAGTATCCCGTTATATATAAATCGCACTTCACTTACCCATGTGCCTTTTGATGGATAGTTATTTAATAATATCATTGCTGCTGTTTTATTATACAACAATTGAAAATATATAATATTATGCAACAACAATACTAATATGGTTGCTATTATAGACAGTATTGCAATGAAAGTCTTTGAACATGTCTCCTTGTACAAACTGGTATTTGTACAGGGTGATTCCTGGGAATATGTGCATCATGCATGTATATGCAAGCATGTTTACTTTCAGTAGGTATGGCCAAATATCTCTCCAATGACTAGACATTCATATTCTCATCAACAACAGATATGAATTTGCTTCCCTATATCTTACTTTTAGACTCTTGCCATTCTCATGAGTACATTCAATTAGTTTGCATTTCCCTGACTACTAGTGAGACGGAGCAGTAGCGCTTTATGTTGATTACCCGTTTAAGTTGCCTCTTCTGTGAATTGTCTATATACATTCTTTCTCTGTTTTGTTCTTTGGTTGTTTGCCTTTTCCTTATTGATTTGCAAGTATTCTTTGTGTATTATTTTGTTTTTCTGATTCTTTGTTGTTACGTGCATTGGAAGTATCTTCTTCCAGAAGTCTGTGGTGTGTCTCTTTACTTTGTTTATGGTGTCTTTTGTTATACAAATTTATTTATGATGGCTGCCTAATTGCCTATTATGAAGATTAAACAATTTACTTAACCTGCATTCTATTATCAGATCCATAGATTGTTTCTAATTTGTCATTATTTTATATAGCATTGCTATGAACATCTTTATGCATGAGTCTTTGTCTGTCTCTAATTATTTTCTCAAATTAGATTATTAGAATGGGAATTCCTGGTCAAAGAGTATAGGCATTTTTGAGACGCCTGAGTACTGTTTTGAGTACTGCCAGAATACTTTTCAGAAAGGCTACTTGCATACAACTTCAGCAATCTGTGCGAGTCTCTGTCTTACTCAGCACTGCAGGTACTTAATAGTATTATAATGTTGAAAGATCTTCCTAATTTGAAGACAAAAAATGGTATCTCTTGTTTCAACATGTACTGTTTGGACTACCATTGAAATAGAAACATAATTCTAATGTTTATCAGATATTTATATTTCCTCCTTTGTGTACTATCTGCTTCATATCTTTTCCCTGGTTAGTACAGAAGAGTTTAAGTACTCAGGCCCAAGAGCCAGATGGACTGCATTCAAATCCCAGCTTCGCCACTTATTAGTTGTGCCGCTTCAGGCAAGTTACTTAGCTTTTCTATATCTCAGTTCTCTCGTCTGTTAAATGGGGACAGTAACACCTTATTAGAGTTGTTTACAAGGGTTAAATGAGTAAGTAGAGTATATGCAAAATACTCAGAATGGTGCCTGGCACATAGTACTACAGAAATGTTTGTAATTGTTGTTGTTACCTATTAAGAGCTTTGTGGTTTGAAAGACTTTGATTTTAAGAATATAAGTTCTTTCTCTGATATATTTAGCATTACTATTTTTTTCTCAGTTTGACTTAAAGTTTTGTCTTTTGATAAGTGTATGGTTCTGCGCAGTAAAAACTTCTTTTTGATATTTCAATAATTTGAATTTTTAAATCTTCTTTACATTTAACTCATTATCCATTGAAAACTTGTTTTGCAGACCACTCTATCAAGAGGGTGGCTGACTGGGCCCCAGAATTACCCTTCCCTTCCCTTTGCCTTAGTATAAAGGCAATCACTGGCCAAAAGCTTGGGTTTAGGGAAACACAGATGTCTGCCTGTTTGGCCCACAAACGCGGAAGCGCATACAGAGAGGATGAACCCCAGGCCACATCTCCTACAGTTAAGCAGGAGTTCCAGCCAGGTTGAGCTGAGGCACAACGTAGGGAGAGTGGAAGAGGCTTGGTACCTTTGGGCCTAGTTCGGCACCTGGTATGGGCTTTGTGCCCGGCCCTGGTGAGTGGCACCAGCTGACCGTCAGCAGGGATGGGGGTGGGAGGAAGGCAGAGCTGACCTACCAGCAGGACACGGCACAGTGGGAAGCTGGCAGGCCCCTCTCCTCCAGCCAAAGGGAACGCACTCTGAGGAAGCTACGCCTGGGACCGGGTCAGCCAAAGGCCTAGAGCCAGGATTTTCATGCCCACTGGGTCGAGAAGCCTGGTAAAGGCCCAGTAATATCCCCCCACAGTACTTCCAAAGAAAGCTTGACTTTGGGTTAGGTGCTCTGTGTACTTTATCTCATTTAATTCTAACAACCATGTGAGGCAGCCACAATTTACTGATTATTCTCATTTTTCAGAGAATAAAACAGAGGCTCTAGAATCCAGGCAGGATGGCCCCAGAATCTGTGCTAAAGTCTGCATGTTCTATCCCAGGGCTTGCCAAGATTATTCTATAAAGGGCAGATAGGATATATTTTAGGTTTGAGGGCCATGTTAGGTCTCTGTCATGTATTCTTTTTGATAACCCTTTAAAAACCATTCTTAGCTTGCAGCATCACACAAAAAGAGGCTGCAAGTCAAATCTGGTCATAGTTTGCCAACCCCTGATGCACACATATTACAGACTATGGCGTACGGACTCTGCTATCCTGTCCTGGGTCCCACTTTACCACACAACCGTGTGACAATGGTACGTAGGTCCCCACCGACTTCACAGGGTTGCCAGGAGGAGGAGCAATGCCCCAGCACCATGCCTGACACAGCGACAGCTCAAATCCATGTGGAAAGCAGACCATAGAAAGAGAAGGAAAAGGCAAGGAAAGCCACACCAGTGGCAAACAGCACAGAGGAGATGGGGGGGCAGCAGCAGATGAGAAGGTCTACAGTAGAATGATAGGAAGTTTGGGGTTTCCAGACACTTTAAACAAGCCTATAGAAAAAAAAAAAAGCCAGGATGCTGAACTCAGAAAGCAAAGGATTTGTTATCCCCTTAACAGAAGGACTTGCAGCAGGACATCTTTCAGTAATAAGCTCTTCTAGCATTTTAGAATAGGTTTCATTCACCCCCTAACCTCACTTAGGGCCACCTTTTCAGGGGCACAATGAAGCTGGCAAGGCCCTCCAGACTCAGCAAGATGCTACTGTGCAGGCTGTTCTCACACAGAAGTAAGAGGAAGGAGAGTGGCCCACAGAAAGCCTCTCCCTAAGCTACATGGAACATGGAATGTCCAGTTTTCAAAACAGGTAAGTTAGAGGATGATTCCTGGCTTTACAGAGGGCTCTCTGCAGTGTGCTTGGCGCTTGTCATGTCCTTGAAGACACTGGAATCCCACCTGGTTTACTGGTCCCGGGGCACATGGCTGAGCCTTGGGTAGAGAGCCCCATATTTACAGAGGGATTCCCTAGGCCCTTGGAGTTCAGGCCCCCTGCTCACAGGGCTCAATCTAGGCCGTGACGAGTGATGGAGCTCACAGCCCACCACACTTGCGTCAGCCTAAGAGCCCTGCAAGCAACGGAACCTCGGGACTGGCAGGGTCCCTGGCACAAGCTGGACACAATACCCAAATCTGTTCGGGTCTGTGGCACCTGCCTGAGCTTCTTGGCAACTAAGTCCTCACAGGGCCGTATGGTGCTGGGACTGCAGCCCAGTGCTAGGAAGGGGGCAGCATTTCTGCTGGAGGACCTTGCCAAGGAGGAATAAACACCTGAGCATGTGTGCAGAGCCTCCTGGTTGTCTCCTGAACCACAGAATCAAGACATTTCCCAACCTTTCTTGCAGCTAGGTGTGATCATGAGGGTCAAGCTGAAATGTTCTGTAACTGCTTATGGGACTTTTCCTTAAAAGACAGAGGGCTACACTCTCTGCTCCTTCTTCTTTGTCCCTCCTTCATCCTGTCACCGGGAACGTGGATGTGATAGCTGGAGTTGTAGCCACTACCTCTGACCATGAGGATGAGGGCTGCGACCTAGGGATGGTGCTTCTCAGTTTCATAAAAATGTCACCTTAATTTCCACAGCAACCCTCGGAGGTATTACTACTTCCATTTTACAGATGAAGAACCAGGCTCAAGAGGTAAAATAACTTTCTACAGTCACACAGCTATTCTAGTCAGGACTAGAATCCAGGACTCCCAAATCTCAGGCTCCTTCGCTAGTTCCAAACCATGTGAAAATGGTAATACAATCATTGAATACTTGGTATATGCCAGACCCTGTGATAAGCACTTTGCAAGTATTCATTCACTGAATCCTCACAACAAACCTGTGAAGTGCCATCTAATATTATCCCCATTTTGCAGAGTGATGACGTGAACCGTGCAAGGTAACAAGAGGCAGAGCTGGATTCGAACCCAGACAGTCTGGCTCCAGGCCCTCTTCTATTTAATATTATACTGTTCTCTCTGCAAAAACACTGCTTCCCAGGTAGTTAAGAAAAGGTACAGAGTAACAGGCCACCTATGGGAACACAGGAAGTAATGGAAGGCAACTCCAGCTGGCGAGAGAAAGACACTATGCAGAGAAGCAGAAATCCCCCTGAGCCCTGTGAGCACTGGGGCTGAAGCCCTGCCCCCTTCTGCATCTGCTGGGCAGTGGGAAGAGGAGGGAGAGATGGGCACAAGAAATTAGGTAGCCAATGGTCCATGTTGTCTCCTCCTGTCCAAGAGCATGCATAGGCCTAGACCAAGTCAGGATTGCTCTTCTGCACTACCAGGCTGATGGAGAGGAGGGGTGAGGTTTGAGCACCCTCATGGAGAGGAGGGCTCTGGATTCTGGTAGATGTCAGGAAGGATGGGGTGGGCCTTGGAGGGGGGTAAGTTTGGGAGACACTTCTGAGTGTTTAGCCACCCAAGCTCATAGGGATCTCATCCTTTTGGCAGCAACTGGTAGAATGGTCCCTAGGGTCCTGCTGTGAGGAACAGGGAATGAGGAATCCCAGAAGTGGGACCTCCTGAAGTGCTTTGGGTCTAGATGGCAATAGCAGGATGGGAAAAGGGGATCAGGTCCTCAGCTCCCTTGCCCGGACAATTGCAACTACTACTTTATCCTTTACGCTGAGGCTGCTGGCCTGGGTGGGAGAAATCAGGCAGAAACGCAGCCTGGACTAGGTCCTCCCATGGAAAATTTCCTGTCTCCACAGCACCTATGAGACCAAGTCCAGACCCCTTAGCTGGCTCCCAAGGCCCCTCAGTAGTCTGTTCATCTTGGCATCATCACTCCTGTTCCCAACTCAGTGTTCCAGCCCCACAGGCTTACTGTCAGCTCCCTGAATTCACCCAGGCTGTTCACATTGCCATGCTCTTGCCCAACCTGAGTCCATTTATTTCATCATGTGGGTGCCTTTTCTGGTTTAGGACTTGTGCTGCACACAAGACCCAGAGAAGAGGAAAATTCAGTTTGTGCCCTCAGGGTCCCCATCCACTGAGGAAGACAGCCGTGGGAAAAGACAATTATGGCAAATGACGGCATGTGTACACAAAGGGGCATGGACAGTAGTGTTTACTGTAGCACCGTTTGCAACTGCGAAAGACTGGGGGGCCCCAAGAATATTCATCAATAGAAGATTATTTCAAAAAGCCAGAGCCCCCTTCAGGCCAGGGTCCTTACATATTAAAACTTCTTTTTAACATAAAGTTATGTAAAGCCCCTATATATTTTTATATGTACAAATCAAACTGAGAACAGTCTCTGAGGAAGAGAGGGGGAAATGGGGGAAGGGTGACCCTCATTTTCTGTTTTGTTCAAATATTTTAAAAAGCCATAACACAGATGATGATTTAAAAAATAATAATATTTCTAAGGGACAGAGGGGTAGCATAGAGGAGAGGATGACCTAGGAGACACTGACCCAGGAGGCCATGCAGAGAACGGCCATGAGAATGGCTATGAGGATGATGGTCCTATTGGGCTGGGCAGAGGACACAGGCACTGTCAGTGTTGGGCCCTGCTATGGTTTAAGTGTGCCCCCAAAAGCACAGGTGTTGGAAACTTAATCCCCAGTGCAACAGTGTTGAGAACCGGGACCTTTAAGAGAGAAGTAGGTCATGGGGACTCTGCCTTCATGAATGGATGAATGCTGCCACTGTGAGAATGGGCTAATTATGGTGGAGTTTGGTCTCTTTTTCTCTCTGTCTTGAATGTTTGCTTGCCCTTTTGCCATGTTACGATGCAGCAAGAAGGTCTTCCCCAGATGCGGCCCTGTGATCTTGGACTTCCCAGCCTCCAGAACCATTTATTGAGCTAAATAAACCTCTTTCTTTAGAAATTACCCAGTCTGATGGTTTCCAGCTGCATCCATGTCCCTACAAAGGACACAAACTCATCCTTTTTGATGGCTGCATAGTATTCCATGGTGTATATGTGCCACATTTTCTTAATCCAGTCTGTCACTGATGGACATTTGGGTTGATTCCAAGTCTTTGCTATTGTGAATAGTGCTGCAATAAACATACGAGTGCATGTGTCTTTATAGCAGCATAATTCTTAGCAATCTATCACAAGAACAGAAAACCAAACACCGCATGTTCTCACTCATAGGTGGGAACTGAACAATGAGATCACTTGGACTCAGGAAGGGGAACATCACACACAGGGGCCTGTCATGGGGAGGGGGGAGGGGGGAGGGATTGCATTGGGAGTTATACCTGATGTAAATGACAAGTTGATGGGTGCAGCACACCAACATGGCACAAGTATACATATGTAACAAACCTGCACGTTATGCACATGTACCCTACAACTTAAAGTATAATAATAATAAATAAATTAAAAAAAAAAAAAAAAGAAAAAAAAAAAAAGAAATTACCCAGTCTATGGTATTCTGTTATAGCAGCAAAATATGGACTAAGACAGGCCCTTTCAGGAATTAGTCCATCCATCAGTCTCCAGGGCCAAGGATACCCTCGAGGCAGGAGCTGAGGCAGCAGGAAGAAGCTATTCCAGAATCAAGAAGTGGGGCTGTTCACCCACAGAATTACTCTGGGGATGTTTTGGGTTTGTGGCCCACATTGCTTCAGAGAAGGCTGTATGTGGGAAAGCAGACAGGCCTAGGGTCCCCTTCTCACCAAGATCCATAGCAGCCCTGAGAATGAGGTAAGAGAAATAGATGGGTGGGGGGGGTAAGGCCAGCAAGGAGGCTGTGGCTGTCCACCACGTAAGAAAAGAAAAGGGGAGGGCCTGTGGAAAGAGGGTTTTGGGAAGATAATGTGCAAAATACAGCCAGGATCTGGCCACATCTCACTGGCCCCATCACCCCTCAAGGGCTGCCCAACTGGTCTCTCTGCTGCCTCTGTTTCCCTGCATGTTCTATTCTCCGCACAGCAACTTGAGTGATTGTGTTAAAACCTATGTCAGACAAGGCACTGCATTGTTTAGAATCCTTCAGTGGCTTCTCCTCTTACTCAGAATAAACAACAGCTGGTCTCCAGCTCCTTCTCTGACATCACATTCTATCACGATGCACTCTGTTAACATCATCATAGTGACACTGACTTTCTTACTGTACCTCAAACACTACTTGTCTCAGGACCTTTGCACTTGCTGTTCCTGCTATCTGGAATGCTCTTGGCCCTGATAGCCACAGGTTCACTCCTTCATGTTGTTCAGGTATTTGTTAAAGTCCCACCTTATTTGAGAGGCCTTCTCTGATAACTCTACATGAAATAGCAGTCTACCCTTACTCCTATCTCTATCTCTTCACCTGCTTTATTTTTCTTCATTTTTTTTTACAGTATATTTATTTTATGATCTCTCTCTCCTAACCAAACACAATCTCTTTCAGAGTAGGTACTCTGTTTTGTTTGCTGCTATATCCCAGTACTTGAAACAGTGCTTGGCATATGTTAGTGCTCAATACTGTTGTGTGAATGGAAGGACAAATGAATGAATGGCTAGTGAGAGAATGGAGCTGCTTGTTCTCTCTTAGAGGCCGAAAGAGAACCCATGGATGTGGGAAGAAGCAGCCATGGGCATGGCGATTGTAGCTCGCTATCAGGAAGAACACTGCAATGACTGGAAGACTGCTCTAGAACATAGCTGGTGCTCTGTCAGAGGTCCTGAGCTCCCAGGACAGTCCCACAGTGGGCAGAGGCTGGGCTGAAACAAACCAAAAGTCCTTCCAATCCTGGAGAACTTGTTTGGTGGTATGAGTGGATATGGAAGTGTATAAGAAAGAGAAGGAAAGTGGACACAGAAGAGTAGAATGGGCAGATACACGCTCCCCAGGCTGGCTCCTTCAAACCAGACAAAAGAAAGGTCTTGGTTCAAGTGATAAATAAGTGTGTTGAATTAATGGGTTCTAAGCTGCAAGGCTAGGACTGCTCTGGAACTTCTTCTAGAACCCCTCTGCTCAAAAGGTCACCCAGTTTCTCTCTGTCAATCACTTTCCCTTTACACAGGAGGAAATTGAGGCCCACAGTGGGGCAATGCCATGGCAAAGGTCCCCACTGGTCTACCTCCCCACTGCTCTCAACCACCCCCTGGCATCACTGCAGGCACCTCATCTGACAGCAGCCCAGTGAGGCAGGTGTTGGATCAACATTGCATGGAAGAGAAAACTGCATTTGGGTGCGGTTCAGAAACAGCCAAGCTGGGACAGGCAGAGGCCAGCCCTCCTTACCCCCAGCCCCAGGAGTAGGAGGCTGCTGAGGCTGCTGTGGACACATTTCCTCAGTCACCTGCAGTGAGAGCGTGCTGTGGCACGTTGGCTCCAGTGGGTGACTATTCTTAGATCTAGGGAGCTATGATGACGGATTTAGAACTTACAAGGTGGAAACATGTTGGCCTGTTTTATAAACAACTGAAATCCTCCCTACAGACTGTCTTTCTGAATTCTGTGTTCTCTCAGAACTGCTGGCTTTCTGGCTTATTGGCTGCTTTGGGAGAGGGGGCAGAAAGAGAAACTAATCCTCTTGAGGGCCTACTATGATCACATATGGTGTTATGGGCTTTTGTATCACCCATCTCATTTAACAGCTCTGGAAAGAAGGCATTTTGGTCACACTCTGTGGATGAGGAAACAGGCTGGGAGAGGTCCAGAAGCAAGCACACCCTGTGATGTGGTACAAGAACGAGGCCGTGGACCAGCAGGTCTGCTGTGGAGCCTGGTGCTGCCAAAAGAAAGGTGGCCCTGGCAGATGAAGCAGTAAGGGCATGCGCACAGCACCTTCAGATTTGAATCCCTTCAGGTGTTGCTCTCCTGTCCTCTAAGATTTCTTCACTCCTGGTGATACCTCCTCCCTCTGTATGACCTGGTAGCTTGTCCCCATTGCATACCAGGGCCCCCTCAGCAGGTTCTCAGTTGTCATCATCCCTCTAGAAGTATGGTATCCAGAGCTGGCTGAGGTCCAGAGATGAAGAGCCCACCAAGATGCACACACAGTCCCCGAGGCTCTACCTCTGTTAGCTTAGCCTGAGGCCACATTCGCTGCTTTGAAGGCCAAGTCCACTTCCCCTTGCTGAACCTACGGCCTGTATATACTCCTAAATAGTTTCTGGAGGACCTATTCTCCTATCTTTTACCTGGCCTGCCTGCATGCTGGTGTTTTAGACCTGGCTGGAACTTTCAGGTTGTTTCCATTAAAAGTCATCTTATTAAATGAACATGCCAATCTCCGAGGGGCACTAGCAGAGGGGTGGAGGAATGGATGCCACTCTGGGCCCAGGAGCAGCTGCACTGTTGCCATTCCTGAAGCCTGGTCACCACCAGAGCCTCCTTACATTGCTCTCCTCAAGCCTGTTTGGGAATCACCAGTGTGCAGAAGAGGAAGCTAGGGAATTAGGGGAATAGTGGAGGTGGTAGTAACAAGGTCTGCTCTGGAATCCAGTGGCAAGTCCAGAAGAATCCACATGCAGGAAGATTAGGGTACTAGAGTTCACATGGGGACGGATGACACAAACCTGAGATAGAATTCTCCCTAGAGGTTCCAATCACTGAATAAATATTATACCTACTTAGTATCTGGTCTGTGTCTGGTGCTATGCCCAATTCAGTTCAATTCATTTTGTACACATCAACTAGGCTCCCACAAAGTCCAAGTGCTGGGTTGGAGAGCTGAGCATCCATCCCACAGTGACAGTGCAGGGAGATGAGGTCCTGGAAAGATTTGCTCAGAAAGACCAGGCAGTGGCTAATTCCTGAGACGGATCAAACCCCCAAGGGAAGAGAGTCTCTTATCTTTTTTTTTTCCTAAACAGCAAAATTTTATTAAACTTTATGTCAATAAACATTATTACAGTACAAAATAGGAAAAAACTAATGGGTTAATACTTATAATACATATTAATCAATTTTTTTTCCTTTTAAATAGACTATTTTTTAAGAGAAAACATAGGTTCATAGTAAAATTAAGAAGAAAGTATGGACAGTTCCCATAACACTTCCTGCCTCTACTTACTTCACAGCCTTCCCCACCAATATCCTGCACCACTGACACACCATTAGTGCTCAAAGTGGGTGGTTTACATTATGGATGATCTTGGTATTGTACATTTTAAGGGTTTTGACAAATGAATAATGACATGGATCCACCTAATTATAATGTCATACTGAATAGTTTTGCTGCCCTAAAAATCCTCTGTGTTTTGCCTACTTATTTATCTTTTCATCTGCCAGAGTTGCAGAATAAATGTTATAGAGTGCCTATAATATTCAAGCAGTTGCAGAGAATACAGCACCAAACAACACACAAGGTCCCTGTCCTCAAGGGGCTTACACTCTAATGGGGGAAACAACAACCAAGTAGGCATACAAGTCAACAGAATGCAGCTAGTAATAACAGTTATACAAAAAAACAGTGATACAATTTAGAAGGGCAGGTAGTCGGGAAGTCCTCCCCAATTATGTGGCCCCTGAGTTGTGACCTGAAGGACAAGAAGGAGCCAGCCATACCTGTGGGAAGAACTTGGCAGGCAGAAGAAATGACAATACAAAGGCTGGAAGAAGGAAGGCATTTTGCCAGTTCCAGATATAGCAAGGAGGATGACTACGCGTGTCTGGGGCCAAGTAAGCCAAGGGAGAGGCAGGCCTTAAAATTGAAGGGGAAGCAGAGCCTTGAGATGCCAGGTGAAGAGTTAAAAGTTTGAGAATGCTGAGAAGCTAGGGAGGGATTTAAGCAGGCAATGACAAATTCTGATTTACATTTGAAAAGGCTGCTCTCTGAAGGCTGGATTACAAAGGCAAAATGCAGGGAGCAGATTTAGGAGGCTACTGCATTGCAGAGGACCAGGCAGTGCATGAAGGTGGCTCGAAGTAGGCTGGTAGCAATGGGG